GTAACAATTGTTTTCTGTATCTGATACTTTCTTATGTTTTTCAAATTAGAAAAACAATACATCTTTATAGGTGAAAAAGCATCATCGTGACAAAAAAAATCAGAACTGCCCACAAAATGTGGGAGGTTACCTAAGAGCTAAATTTTAGCCCTCTCCCTTCCTAAAGACTCGATCAATAATTGATCCACTTATTAAGTCTGCATAACTGCTTAAATAAAACATTAATTACATAAATAAATAACTAATAATCCCTCCCTTAAACTAAATGCTTGAATAAGCCATTTAGTTTATTTCTTATGCTTCAATAAGTCCCAACATGCTTCAGAATTTCGCAAACTGCTCTAGTTTGAGTAGCTTGGTCATTATATCAGCTACTTGATTCTGAGAACTGCAATAGTGTAACTTGATTTTCCATTCTTTGGCAAGGTCTCTTAAGAAATGAAATCTAACATCAATATGTTTACTCCTACCACGAAACATTGGATTTTCAGATAACTTAATAACAAAACTACTATCACATAGAACCATAATGTGTTTATGACTTTGAAACCAATAGCCTCCAATATTTTCTTAATCCAAATACATTGGTTGCAGTAACTACATAATATGATCCTGTTGTAGAAAGAGTTACAATCGACTGCTTCTTGGAGGACCATGAAACAGCTTCAGTTCCTAACGTGAATACAAATCCAAATGTGTTTTTTGGTCATCTATGTCTCTAGCAAAATCATTGTCAGTATAGGCTACCAGTGTCATGTTTTCTCCCTTTTTGAGGAGAATTCCAAATTCAATAGTCCCCTTCAAGTATCCTAGAATTTATTTAGCTGCAAACTAGTGGGTTTTTGTGGGGTTGGCCATGAACCTGTTGATTAAACTAACAACATACATCAGATTTGGTCTAGTAGCAGTCAAATACATTAGACTTCCAACTACTTGTTTCAACAAAGTAGCATCCACCTTGGTCCATGCATCATTCCTGGACAGTTTTGTTCTCGGTACAATCGAATTTTTGACTGCATTGCAGTTCAACATACCAAACCGAGATAAAACCTCCTAAGCATACTTCCTTTGTCACATGAAAATTCCATGTGTATTTTTCAGAATTTCAACTCCAAGAAAATATCACATCTTCCCTAAGTTAGTCATCAAATTCTAACATCATGGAATTTTTAATGTCATCACATATCTTTACATCATTCCCAGTATAAATTAGATCATCCACATATAGACTCACAATTAAAATTTTACCTCCCTCAGCTGACTTTGTAAACAATGTATGTTCACAGAAACATCTTTCAAATCCATTTTGTAGAAAATATCATTCTATCTTGTTGTACCATGCCATTGGTGCCTATTTGAGTCCATATAGTGCCTTTCTTAGATTGTATACTTTCTCTTCTTATCCCTTCTTTATAAACCCAATCGGTTGTTATACATAGATTTCCTTCTTAAGCTCTCCATGAAGGAATGCACTTTTCACATCCTATTGAAATATGATTCATCCATTTTGTGCAACTAATGAAAGGATTATACGAATAGTGTCTATTTTGGAAACAAGTGTGAATACCTCNCACTAAGAATGATAAGGTTTGTGTGAACATAAGTAAGTAACAATTGTTTTCTGTATCTGATACTTTCTTATGTTTTTCAAATTAGAAAAACAATACATCTTTATAGGTGAAAAAGCATCATGGTGACAAAAAAAAATCAGAACTGCCCACAAAATGTGGGAGGTTACCTAAGAGCTAAATTTTAGCTCTCTCCCTTCCTAAAGACTCGATCAATAACTAATCCACTTATTAATTCTGCACAACTGCTTAAATAAAACATTAATTACATAAATAAATAACTAATAATCCCTCCCTTAAACTAAATGCTTGAATAAGCCATTTAGTTTATTTCTTATGCTTCAATAAGTCCCAACATGCTTCAGAATTTCGCAAACTGCTCTAGTTTAAGTAGCTTGGTCATTATATCAGCTACTTGATTCTGAGAACTGCAATAGTGTAACTTGATTTTCCATTCTTTGGCAAGGTCTCTTAAGAAATGAAATCTAAAATCAATATGTTTACTCCTACCAAGAAACAATGGATTTTCAGATAACTTAATAACAAAACTACTATCAAATAGAACCATAATGTGTTTATGACTTTGAAACCAATAGCCTCCAATATTTTCTTAATCCAAATACATTGGTTGCAGTAACTACATAATATGATCCTGTTGTAGAAAGAGTTACAATCGACTGCTTCTTGGAGGACCATGAAACAGCTTCAGTTCCTAACGTGAATACAAATCCAAATGTGTTTTTTAGTCATCTATGTCTCTAGCAAAATCATTGTCAGTATAGGCTACCAGTGTCATGTTTTCTCCCTTTTTGTGGAGAATTCCAAATTCAATAGTCCACTTCAAGTATCTTAGAATTTATTTAGCTGCAAACAAGTGGGTTTTTGTGGGGTTGGCCATGAACCTGATGATTAAACTAACAACATACATCAGATTTGGTCTAGTAGCAGTCAAATACATTAGACTTCCAACTACTTGTTTCAACAAAGTAGCATCCACCTTGGTCCATGCATCATTCCTGGACAGTTTTGTTCTCGGTACAATCGAATTTTTGACTGCATTGCAGTTCAACATACCAAACCGAGATAAAACCTCCTAAGCATACTTCCTTTGTCACATGAAAATTCCATGTGTATTTTTCAGAATTTCAACTCCAAGAAAATATCACATCTTCCCTAAGTTAATCATCAAATTCTAACATCATGGAATTTTTAATGTCATCACATATATTTACATCATTCCCAGTATAAATTAGATCATCCACATATAGACTCACAATTAAAATTTTACCTCCCTCGGCTGACTTTGTAAACAATGTATGTTCACAGAAACATCTTTTAAATCCATTTTGTAGAAAATATCATTCTATCCTGTTGTACCATGCCATTGGTGCCTATTTGAGTCCATATAGTGCCTTTCTTAGATTGTGTACTTTCTCTTCTTATCCCTTCTTTATAAACCCAATCAGTTGTTGTACATAGATTTCCTTCTTAAGCTCTCCATGAAGGAATGCACTTTTCACATCCTACTGAAATATGATTCATCCATTTTGTGCAGCTAATGAAAGGATTATACGAATAGTGTCTATTTTGGAAACAAGTGTGAATACCTCTATATAATTCACTCCATAGTGTTATGCATATCCATTTGCTACCAGTCTTGCTTTGTATTTGTCAATATCTCCATTCTCCTTGAGCTTGGTCTTGTATACCCATTTGACTCCAATTGGCTTCACTTCTTTTGGCATCTCAGTTAATTCCCACGTTTGATTTTTTTCTATAGCTTCCATCTTTTTATCATTGCATCGCGCCATTTCTTACTCTTGACAGCTTCTTCAAAATTTTCTAGATCGATTAATGTTGTAAGCATCGCCCTTGTATCATTATTAGACAATCCTTCTCCTCCTTCATAATTTGTCATCCAAACAGGTTCTTTGTGATGCCTTCTAACTCTACATTCAAGTGGAGTCTCAAGTACTAGAGTGTGAGACTCAATTCTGGAATCTGTTTCAGCAGCATTTTGCTTGTTGCGGCTCCTTACTACATAATTGCTTAAATAAAACATTAATTGCATAAATAAATAACTAACAGTTTGATGAATGTAACGTAGGTTTGGGACGAACACCAGAAATTTGGAAAGAACAAAGTTAAATTTGGGAGACAATGAATTTGATGAATATGAACGAAGTGAAACTGACAATGTAAAGAAAATAAGAAAATTTGTTAATAAAATAAAAGGAATGTCAAACACAATGATAAAGGAAAACTTAAAACAATAATTAATAGATAACCCTTATTTAGAAGCCTTATCTATTAGTTTATTTTAAATTATAAATAAAAGAAATAATATTAATTATTTATAGATAATTTTTTTTTAAAATAAGTATTATTTATTGTTATGCACGTTCGTAAATAACGTTTATTTAAAAAAGTGAACAAAATCTTCTATAGTAAAGAACTCCGTCGTCAAAATAAATGGTCAAAATAAATGGTAAGCTACAAAAATTAGAAGCAAATAGCTTTAATGAAGCAAACTAGAAAAATGGATCAGGTCAGCAAATAGCTTTAATGGTCCCATGGACAGAAAATAGATTTAATACTCCAACGTTAAACAAAAGAAAGTTTAATTACCTTTTTTAAAACTTATAAAAATATTAAACTTACATAAGGAGGTAATTGTAATTATAAATATTTGTAAATATAACTTAAGAGAATATAAGAAAAAAGAATTCGATCATGCAAGGTCCAGTTGTTGATGCATTGAAAGACTGAAAAAGGTTACATAGAAAAAGCATAGTTAAAGATAGGGAAGAAAGATAGGTAGCACGGAGTAATGAGTGGGTTTTATGATAAAATTCGGTGCCAAAAAAGTAAAGTGGGTCACTATGACATTGAAAATGTGTTATCAAAGTCCAATGTCTTCAGATTTCTGAATTCACGCATGGGACTCTTCTGCTATGCCAGAAATATTGCATTCAAATCAATATTTCAGAACCATGTTACAACTGGGACCAAGGACCACAAACAAACACAATTCTAATCCATCTAACCTTGTAATAGTACTGCTAAGTTTTGATTCATCATATTAACCAGGAATTTTCTTTTGATTGAAGAATAAAAGTGACTATTACATAAGAAAAGCTACCAGTTCAGTGATCCAGATCTTAAAGGTTAAAACTATTGTTGATCATGGAAGTTGTCCTATTTCTTCAAAATATTATTGGTTTGAATCGCTCGTTTGCTGGAATCAATGAATGCTTATATTCTTGTTCGACGTGAAACCAGAGTGCCCAAGACACACATTAACCATAGAAGTTACATGGGTATCAAAATTGAAAAAAAAAAAATTAAGGCACCGCGACATATTCTTCAATTTCGGACCCATGATAGACAGTTTTATGATGTTTTCTATCAGTGCTGTGAACACAGGGATCATGACAGATAAAACATAATTTTAAGCTTGGGTACAGACAAAGACAACATTAGATCAAAAGGACCCCCCGAAAATTTACAAGAAATTTATACAGAGAAATAGAGCAATTATGTCCTCGATATATCATTAAGAATTCAAAAATCAGAAGCTCCCCTCCAATAATAATAATAATAATAATGATAATAAATAATCAACGAAACACAGAAGAAATATATATAATGAAACATATGGTCACGATTAAAATTTAAAACTCTCCTCTTCTAGCAGCAGCAAAGTCCATCTTTGAACATCTTGGGTGGTAGAAGTGAATGCAAGTACATAATTGACAGCAATCAATGTAGGTGCTGTTCATCTCCTTCCTCCTTGTGGATGTACATAGCAATTATGAGATTCTCAGTCAGAAGAAAAGGGCTTGACCTTCAAGCGGTACAAGAGTTTCTTCTTCTTAGAGCTTTGGTTGTCAATGGTGAGAACCACTTTCCCAGGTTCACCAATTTTATAATTGCTGCAAATCACCGGTTCTTCTGATGAAGCAACCTTTCTAGCCTTCTGGATGATCACAGTATAGCTTCCCTCCGAACTTGGCACAAACTCTGCACCATAGCTTACGTCCCACCCTATTACTCTTAGTTCCCAAGACAGTAGGGAGTTCTGCATGATCCCAAGTGAAACAAAATTTCAATGCATTAATTAGGCAAATTTCTCAGCAAATAACAATTTTCTACCTACTCACACCAAGTCATAGTAATGGCTTAGATATAGAGTAGGATTCAATCACTTATCTAACTGTATGAGCTACATACACAAGATTTTTCAGTTTTAGATTGATTCTATGATCCTATAACTAATACAATTTTAATATTATAAGAGGTTGAGCTTTAACCATTCAACTCAACTCCAAAAATAAATTAAATGCACACATCATCAGATACACATTGAAAAAATAGAATAATTATTTTTCTTATCTTCGACTTATCCGTTGTCTTTTCCGAGTTTAATAAATCATTCTTGGATGCTCTAAGATTCAACATGACTTTTTTGTGTTCTAACGGGCTAAATTTGCAGTAGCTAACCAATATGAGTAACCTAGCTAATCAGCATCACAGTGCTGTTTTCTAGCCTAGATGATAGAAAACAAAAGATTAATTAGTAGTGGAAAAGGATTTTGGCTCGTAGCTATATTTAGAACTGAAATAAAATAAGAACACTTATGTTTCCAGTTCGAGTATGGTCTTTCCACGTTTATTTATTATTCTTTATTTACTAATTATGGTGTATTGCCCGAGACATGTCATATCGGGGAATGGGTCTGTCTAAATCTGTAGCATGAAACAGGAGGAAAACGAAAGGTATGATATTAAAATCTTGAGAACAGAGGAATCCTAGGAAAGATTACGAATTCCAATGCTGCATTCATTGGATTCCCCCTCAGTCGAGATCAATCGATTCCGACAAAAATACAAAGAAGAAAGACCTAACGCACCTCAGAAACAGGAAACTCCACGGTATGTTTTGCTGCTGGTCTCACTGTAATTTCTGTAACAGCATCGGAAATTCCGAATTCCCCATCTTTACTTAGTCCACCATACTTCACCGGAAGTTGCTCAGCAGCAATGTATCTGAGATATCCACATAACAATAACAAATTAAGCTACAAATTTGGACAAAACGCAAGCGAAACTGAAAACACACGAATCAAGAAATCATATATTTTTGTGTTCACCCCAAAAGAGTCTCGGCTGATTTGGAAGGGCCGGCAAAGACAAACTTGCTTTTGGTTCTCTGAGTAAGAAAAGGACTTATCATCCTGTTCACTGCCAAGTACCACCACGGCACATTGATAAACACCTGTACCAACAAATCAAAGGAGAGTATGAAGAAAACATAACACACATTGGAATACAATAAGTGTTAAAATTGAAGGCAAACAAATAAAGTATGAACGAATAAGGTTTAAAATGCGATTTCAGATAAATGTAAAGGGTTGTTTTTGTCTCTGTATCGATGGCTCTAATGGCAGCATTTGTCTCAATTTCAAGGAGGCCAAACCATGGATGTAGTACTTCAATTGTTTTCCACCTTATTTTCTAATCAGAATTGAAGTTTGAAATGTGTAATAAGAGATTCCATTAAAAATATAATTTTAGTCAGAGAATAGTATCAGAAGTATAAGTTTTGCTCTTTGAAAACTTATAAAGATTGCAAAGACCTCAGTAACCAGATTTATATGAAATGGCGTTATGAAGATTGCAAAAGAGAAGGGGTTGAATTTAAGAGGGCATGCATGCAGTACCTGTTTGGCAACAAACTCAGGATAGTTATCCTGAAGCAACTGAAGGGCCTGTTTGGTAGCCTGTCTAAGCTCCCACTTGGCAGGTCCGGGAGAGTTCTTGAGATCATTGACTTGAACAATGGTGCTTATACCACCAGGGGTAAAATCAAGCTTCCTGATACTCTTCTCCAGGAACTGAATCCTCCACCTGAGGAACCTGTGCCTCTTCTCCTCATCAGAGAAACTCTTCTTGTACAACTCCTTGTTCTGAAACTCCCCATAGATGTTATAACACACAGGGTGACCCTCCTTGTCAAACCCATGCATGTACACCGCCTTCTCCAAATCATCCCCCAACTCCTCCTCCAACAGCTCCTCCATCTCGAACTCCTTCCTCCACCGAATCGTCCCCTTTATCATCGCAAACGCCTCCTTCACCTTGAAATCCCTCGCACGCAGAAACTTCAGCAGAATCACATCGCTCCTCTCATCAGCAAGAAGCGGCACTCCCCAAATCGAAACCTCTTCGGGTGAAGCCGAACCAGCTTCCACCTTCGCTTCCTCCTCATACACACTCACAGCCACAACGCTCTCCTCGATAGCCTCCACCGTTTTCGCTCCATCCTCCACAACACAACCAGCATCGCTAACAGCCGCTTTCTCTTCAACAACCTCAGTTTGAGTTTCTGTCTCCTTCACTTCCGCAGATTCTTTTTCTGTCGCTTCTGCCACGTCAACAGCAGCAGCAGCATGAACAACGTGTTCCTTTTCTTCCTCGGCGGGCTTCTCTTCCTCCTTGTTGTCGGTGGCATCTTCGGGCTTTTCATCTTTGGGAGGGTGGTTATTCTGAATCGCAGAAAACTCGAGTTTTTGGAGTGCTTCCTGAATGAGTTGTTTGAGTTCTTGCAGTGCCTTCTTCTCTGTTTCTGGCAGGTCCGAGACAATGGTGCTTTCTTCCTTGAACGAACCAGATTCAGGAATGTTATCTTTGGAAACCTCCGTCTCGGTTTCTGGAATGTTCTCCTTCTCCGGAGATGCTTTTTCCTCTTCTTCTTCTTCTACTACAGACACAACAACGTTGGTGTCTGATAGCTCAGCAGGTGCAACGTCAGCGACCACAGCTTCCTCTTGAGCTGTGCTTGTCTTTGAAGCTTCTTCAGCCATGGTTAAGCTAACTCAATTCTCAACAGCGACACTTTCTTTGATCTGAACGAGCAAAATTCGAAAGGAAAGAGAGAATTTGATGTGGGGAAAGTGGGAAATGGAAAGAGGGAGTTATAGAGAGAGACCAGACTGTGCCAGCTAGGAATGTGGGCCCCGGCCCGGATGTAACGGTGTTATTACACTCTGTACCCAACAGAGTGGGCCTACCTGCAAGTTTGAGGGCCCAATCAGTTAGAATTGGGAAGTAACGGTCCCATTGATGGTATGCATGCATTCACGTTTTGTGTAAGAATATTTATTTAATTTTAAAGAAATAAGGTTTTGAGAAGTTTTATTGGCCTTTGATGATGAGATTGGACAGTGAGTTTGCCTTGGATGCGTTGTACCTTTGTTTGCTTTCAATTGCAACCAAGCCGTTCAACAGTTTTGGTTTGGCCCACATCGATCACTAATATTTGTTAACAATGATTAGTAATGGCTTTTTTAGTTTCAAATATGAGTTTAATGATGGCATTAACGTTGGATGATTGATTGTTTTTTCTTAAGTTGGTTAAGGAATTGTTTGCCTTTTGAATATATTATGTTGTTCCGCCATCCTTGCTGTTATTTGTTGGGACTTTTAATCCTTTATGTTTTATGCTTTTAAAGAATCTTGTCTGCATTTGTTTTTAATTTTTAGACTTTACACGTCCAAAATCAAATTTATTTTTCATAACATTAACTTTATTTCATCCAACCAGGGTTCTCTCATGCTCTTGTACACATGTTTGTAACTGAATTCATAAAATAATTATGTTACTCATTAAACAACCAAGTGAGAACAAATTGTGAAAACTGAATTACTAAATTCAATTGTTCCTAAGAAAAAAAATACAAAATACAAGATTCTATGTTAAAAGCTATTTGTTAGTTTAATGAGTGTGCATTGAAGGATATTAAACAGTTGTGGTTATCATCTAAATCATAAGAAACTATTGGTATGAGTTTGAAAATAGTTAATTGTAAAGTGAGCAAACTTATATAGTTTATAATTGGGGAATAGTGTAAAATTGTTATAGTTTGTTCCTATCCAATTTTTTTTTTTTAAAATGGAGATGCACTTGCATAGTGTAGGGTCTTTTTCTCTCTCTCATGTCTGTTCTCTTTCTTCTTCTTCTTTTTCTTCTTTTTTTCCATTTTATTATGATATTTTCATGATATAATAATATATCATGAAATGAGATGGAGATACACTTGCATAGTGTAGGGTCTTTCTAATTCTCAAATTATTCCTAGTTAAAATCATAATAAAAATTCTTATTTTCTTCATCTTTAATATTTTCCAGGTTAAATGATGGGTAAGTATTTAAAAAATATTTTTTAAAATATTTAATTCCAAAAATATAAAAAAATATGTTCCGAATTAAATATTCTAAAAAATATTTCCAAATTCAGAAATATTTGTCGAGAATATATATTTCAAAAATTTATTTTATATTTCAAAAGAAATATTTTGAAACATAAATTTTTTTTCAAAACGGAAATATCTTTTAAAACATTTTGAAATACAAATGTTTTCTTTTCAAAAATGAATGTTTCCAAATGCATTTTCAAATACCTGGAATTTTTTTATTACACACCCCGAGTAGGGTTCTTCTCCCAATTTTCCTTCTCCTTTTTCCAAAAATTTTCAATTCTTTCTCTCCATAACAATTTTCACCATCATCATCCAATTTGAAGGTGGGTAAGTTCCTTGAAATATTAAGTCTGTTTTGATAAACTCTTGATAGTGGAATCTTTATTGCTAGTGATTAGTATGGAAAAGCCTTAAGGTATGATGTTGGATGCGTTGAAGAGTCTGTGTTGGTTTGAAATTGATGAAGGAAGGTTGTGCCATGGTGAGTGATGGGTTAAAGGGAAATGGAGAAAGAATGGAGGAGATGATGTGTAAAATGTGTTTGAAAGGATGGAAGTAGAAAATAAGAGAGTTTGCTTGGAGGAGTAAGAAGATGGATGAGGTTTGTGATAAAGGTTAGTGAAAGTGTTAAGATAAGATTGTCTAAAAGAAACTAGGATCATTTAAAGCATATCTAGTTTTAAAGTTTAACAAATAACATTAAACGAAATAGTATTGAGTAATCAAAGATGTAAACATATAAAATAGCACAAACACATAACAGGTTACACTCTCTAATAAAACATCTAAACACCAAAAGTCGGAGATCACAAAATCATATAGGTACCCAATGTCATAAAGAAAAGATACACTGAAAATAGCATATGAGCATAAAAGAAGTCCACACATAGTATGCCCAAAAATATACACAAAACAACAAGTACAAAAAATAATCAAATAAAACTAACAAAATACTAAATGCATATGCAAAATATAAGAATACATGCTTAGCTTAGATGGCGACACTTTTAAGAATAACACAAAAAAAGTCACGCGACTAACCAATACCGCAAGAAGAAAGGTTGATAAGACAAAGGTTAAGATCGTTTAGTAGCATTACACATCTTGAGAACTAATAAATAACCCCAGGAAAAAAAGACATTTGACAAAGCGTTATCTTTTTAAAACCCATAACAAAGAGTGAAAATGAGTTATAAATAAACCATCAAAGAAAAGCTTTAGTAAAACACACCAATTCATGAACACAGGCATCACTAAACGGTCTCCCTATTAAATGCATCAATGAGAGTTTTGTTGAATGCAATTAGTGTTATACATTGCTAAGCAATAATCAAACAAACTCTCAACATGTCTTGATAGATAAAAGTATCAAAAGATGGTTTTGGAAGGTATGCTAAAAATCTTAAACATTTATCCAAAAACTTGTACTAAATGAGAATCTTGCTAAACACACTTGTGCTATACCTCGTCGAACAAGCCTAGACTAGCTCTCTCTATAAAATGATGTTTTTGGTAAACATATTAAAGGTACAAACATTGTTTCAAAAACACATGCTGGAATATATCTCCTTAAACACGCTCTTGAACTAAACAAGTATTTACTAAACATGGCGTCATCAGGAAAAGCTTTTCACAGGTTAAATGATACCCTGTGTTAAACGAAGCTTTCATCCAACGAGGAAACCCTTATGAACCACTTGGTATCCTCGCTAGAGTGCATGAACGATCAAATGTTGATTGAGCTATGGAATATTTGAAATACTTTAGTTGCTTTGGGCACACATTAAATTCCATTAAATACACAACATCTTAAAACAACAAAAAAGTATTGAGAAAAATGACATATCTGCTTGCATGCATATCTACTCTACTATGTGCAGATCAGCTAGGTCAAAGATCCACCTGCTCTATCAAATGCAAGTTAGAAATGGATGTTAGAGATAAAAATACATTTGTGGAACGATCTTCCCATCAAAATTCGCGCCAAAGAGTACAAAAGATATTTGTATTATCAAAAGGCTTATAAATAAAAGATGTTTGAACAAGAAGAGCGAGAGAATCAGTAGTTAAGGAATACAAAGAAAGATCATCCTCATTGAAAGATCAAGAATTCTCTCAGACTTATTTAGAGTAAAAGACCTTCTTTTGTAAGAATAGAGAGAGAAAAGATTAGAAGAAAGAAGAAAAACTCTCAAGTTTCATATAATCATAAGCTTAATATTGTAAGAAGAGAGAAAAATTTTGAGAGTCTATTAGATTGAATTGTATTATATATACATCCTCTTTGCGAGAGTAATCTTCTAATGACTTGTATTCAATCTATTTCATTGTAAATTCTAAAGAGAATTAAAACACTTTTCATTTAACTCGTTGAAGTTAAACGATAGCTAGACGAGTTTCTCTAGTGAAAATCAAGAGTGGATGAAACTCATGTGACGTTTAACTCAGTGGAGTTAAACGGTAGCTAGACGGGTTTGTCTAGTGGAAACCAAAAGTGGGTTAAACTCAACTAGATAGTGTATCGGGAGGATACTAGGAGTGTCTAGGGATACTAGGAGTGGTGAAGAATATTGCACAACCAAGAGTAGGTGAAACTCAGTTAGAGTCACAATGACGGGGGTTACTAGATTGACTACGACAATTAGGATTGGGTTAAACTCAATTATACAGTGTGTAGGAAGGATATCGGGAGTGCCTCGGGATACCAAGAATGGTGAAGAATATTGCACAACCAAGAGTGGGTGAAACTCATTCAGAGTCACAATAACGTGGTTTACTAGATTGACTACGACAACCAGGAGTGCGTTAAACTCAACTAGACAAGGTATCGAAAAGATATTGGGATTGTCTAGAAATACCAGGAGTGGTGAATAATACTGCACAACCAAGAGTGGGTGAAACTCGGTTCTAGTCATACTAACGAGGGTTACTGGATATATGATTAGTGTAACTAGGAATGGTGAGAATACTCACATGTACTTCATTGAAAATCTAATAGAACCCTCTAAAATATCTTAGTGGTGAACTAGATGTAAGTGGACCAATATAAAGTATGTATGCATTATGTTTTCACTCTACAAGCATTTATTATAACCACAACTTATATTTGTAAAACGAACAGTTAACACTCATGCTCATTTTTATACTTATACTCCTTTAAGAGCTTCTTCTCTTGGACACTGCAAAATAAGAGCTAAACAATTAAGTCAAAACACTTTAGTCAAATTAGCATCCTATGCGTAAGACATTTTGTAACTCGTGAGATCATTCAATTTATATCAATGGTTGTCAAATATCATCACGAAAAAGGATTTCCAAAAACATTATTCAACCTCCCTTCTAGTGTTTTTCATTACTTTAGAAAGTAATGCGAAGATATTTTTATCAAGTGATGTAGGAAGAAAATAGTAGGTTGCATGAAGAATAATTAGATTTTGAAATATAGTTAAGAAACTCAACCGATTTCAAATTCGTTTAAGGAACACAATAAATTTCAAAATTCGAATAAAGAACACAATAAATTTTAAAATTTGATAAAGAAACACAATGAATTTCGCAATCCGATCAAGGAACACAATGGATTTCGAAATTCAATTAAAGAATACA